TGCATGCGACCTTGGGCCACGGGCTTGTAAGTTCAAGCTCCAGTTGGGTTGTAGAGACTACTTAAAAATATTTAAAGAAAAGAAACTTCGTAGCTAATATGTCTCTAGTAGTTATTCCCACAAGAGGGCTTCTCCAGAAGATGTTTTAAAATCACCTGGGAGAGGGCGCCTGGGTGGCTCAGATGGTTAAGCGTCTGCCTTCGGCTCAGCTCATGATCCCAGGGTCCTGGGATCGAGTCCCACATCGGGCTCCCCGCTCAGCAGGGAGCCTGCTTCTCCCTCTGACCCTCTCCCCTCTCATGCTGTTTCTCTCTCGCTCGCTCTCTAAAAAATAAATAAAATCTTTAAAAAAAAAAAAAAAATCACCAGGGGGAATTGAGCAGGGAGATAAGAACAGTCAACAACTAGTAAACACAAGGCAGAGAAAGACACCATAGGCCGGATACCAGAGAGCAGTTTAAGAAAAAGAAGATTGTCCAAAAAATCACCTGAGGGGCTTTTTCTTTTTTTTTTTTTTTTAAGATTTTATTTACTTATTTATCTGAGAGAGACAGAGAGAGAGAAAGAGAGCACACAAGCAGGTGAAGGGGCAGAGAGAGAGGAAGAAGGAGGCAGCAGGGAGCCCGATGCGGGACGGGATCCCAGGACCCTGAGATCATGACCTGAGCCGAAGGCAGACGCTTAACCCACTGAGCCACCCAGCCATCCCTGAGGGGCTTTTTCAAATTGTGCCGGCAGCCCTTACTTAATATTGCTCCTCCAAAAATGTTACGTCCTTCCAGTAGACAAACCCCAAAACACATTGAAGATCAGTCATGATGAGCCACTGTTACTGTAGTGAGCATGTTGTATCCTTCAGGTGTGCTGGGTTCTGAAAGAGGTTGAGAATCGCTGGTGTTTCCCCAATAACTAACTGTAGAGGTACTAACGGGAATACATTTAGTTTGGAAATCAAATTGTTTTTTCAGCCTACAAAATTGTGGGGAGAAGTTACTGCCATTATAATTTGGAATGTTTTGCATTCAGTAAGCAACAAATAGTGGGTTTTTCTTTCTCCCATAGACTTAATCTTTAATTCCCCAACTGGTAATGGGTCACACTGAGGACTTCTTAAAGGATATCTGCCATCAGAAAATACTATTTCAGGAGACTGGGAGAGCTATGGGAAAGAAAAACCATCTGTTGAGCACTGCCTTAGCTACTACTTCTGAGAACACTGCACAATACTGCTGCAGGGTAGAGCTTTTCCCTCCTGTTTTACAGAAGGCAAAACCATTTTCAGCAAACTACTACCTTGCCCAGTGTCATAGCTGCTAAGTGGGAGAACCGGGATTCAAATTCCAGTCCTGAGTTTGTCCCATCATACCACAGTGCAGCCTTGTTGAAGTAAAAGGACCAGATCTAAGTGGCTTGCTGCCACCGTGGCCCTGCTGTTAGCATTAATGTGACTGACAGAGGGTTCTGATAAGTAAATGGACTGCGTGCTTGCTTTTCAGTTTTCCCTTGAGGTCTGTAATTTAGTAAGTAAATAGTTTTCCTACTCTCCTATTTTATGATTAATTCAAAATTAGGCACGTTTTTCCTAGACTAACAAACTGATGTATCTATGTGCTGACTTAACAAACTAACAGTCATGCAGGGATCTATTTTCATCTTAGGAATTACGTTTCCTTTCTATAGAATTATAAATTAAATGCCCATATAAAATTTTGTACCTTTAATTCCAGAAATTAAGTTTATATTTTAATTGAACAGGTAACACAAGAAATTTCAGATAACACAAGAATTTTCCGACTGCTTGGATCTGACAGGTATGGGAAGGGGTTGTATTAAATACATAGTACTTAATGTGTTTTATAAAGCCAGCATGAAAGTGATTTCTTTTTCAAGGGAATTGAAATTTCTACAGTAATACATTCAACATTGTATTTTTCACACTAAAGAATTCACAAGTCAGGAAGTTATAAAGCCTTTGAGAATGCGCCTGATCTTCCAAGTAACAGGAATATATAGATCTATCAGTACTAATTTTGCATTAAACGTGCTGTCTAAAGGATGATTTATAGCACAAGAAAGAGGAAATACCATATACTAACAAACAAAATTTTTTGGTTTTAGTGCTAAATAGAATTTTTGGGTTCTATTCTGATAGACTTTCTGATTCTTTTTTTTTTTTTTTAAGATTTTATTTATTTATTTGACAGAGAGAGACACAGCGAGAGAGGGGAACACAAGCAGGGGGAGTGGGGAAGGGAGAAGCAGGCTTCCCGTCGAGCAGGGAGCCCGATGCGGGGCTCGATCCCAGGATCCTGGGATCATGACCTGAGCCGAAGGCAGACGCTTAACGACTGAGCCACCCAGGCGCCCACACTTTCTGATTCTTGAACAACAGGTTGTTTTATACTTTGTGAGAATTAAGTTCCCCCAAATTATTCCAAATACGGTTTTCCCTACCTCTGACTCTTCGAACAACACTGGCTTAGAGAGTGGTGGGCAGCGAAAGTACTTCCTGGAGCTGGAACTGGTTCTTTAATCATAGTGATTTGCAAATCATTTTCTGCCCACAAATCAAATAAACAGCATTTATAGAGGCAGAAAATGAAGACGCAATGGAAAATGTTTCTGCTAACATTAGTTTTCAAGAATAACTTTGTTTGTTTATCACCTTTAGGGTCGTGGTTTTGGAAAGCAGGCCAACTGATAACCCCACAGCAAATAGCAACTTATACATCCTGGCGGGCCATGAGAACAGCTACTGAGGACGGCTGTACTTCAACCGTGAGTGTGAGAAGGAACGAACACGGCTGCTGCAACAGGGACGAATGCTTGCAGCCGTCCGGAGCTGCGGTGCCCGGCTTCAGTCACTTGTAATTTATTGCGGCATGACATGAGATGGGGAGGATTTTTGTTTTAAGTGGTGTGGGTATATTTAGCATATTGAACCACACAAGTGCTTAATTCATTGTTATGTAATCTTTGTACACACAGGGGTATTTTTCTGTGAAACTTCATATTGCTGAAGACATACACTAAGAATTTATGTAGATAATGTACTTTTATGAGATGTACAAGTAAGTGTCTTATCTGTACAGATGTAAATGTTGATGAAAATGCAATTGGGGTTAATATTTTAAGAATTCTTGGTATATTCTTGGGTGTGGCTATATTACAAAATGGGATGCTGGCGATGAACCCATACATTTAACACTATTGTATTTTTATTATATGTAATTTAGTAATATGAATACAAATCTTGTAACTTTCAAAATTGTAATGGAGGCTATAATCATTTTATAATCTTGTTTTTAATTTTAATGCAAGTACACTGGTGTTTATATTTGCACAAAGTATTGATACGTGATGTATTAAGTCACAAAGGTAAGCTGTGACATTGTCAATATGCATTTGGCTCCACAACATGTTTTTTAAATGTATTTGGATTGTTTTCTATGTGAAACAAACCAATTAACCACCTGTTGTAGTAACTGGTCTTTTTATAATTAAGCAGAATCCTCTAAGATTCTTTGTCTGTGCTTAAAAACATACCTTTGAAAAAATTTTGAATCACAGAATAGCGGTACTGTGATGTAACACTGCAGTTGTCTGAATTACAGTATGCACAAAGAATAAATTAGCATCATTAAAGAGTCCACACTAAACATTTCATAGAATCACATTGAAGAACTATAACATTCCATAGAGTGGAGTGGTTCAAATTTCTAGTGAAATCTTTATTTTGGTTGGCCTTATTTTATGATCATTTTCATATTTCTTTTGACTTAGAGTATTAACACACGGCCAAAATAATTTAGTTACTACCTCATATAAACAATATAATGGTTACTACACATCACAGGAACTTAGTTTTGGTTTAAAGTCATTTTTGATTGCTTTTTTCCAATGGAATATGTATAATACCAAGTTTTAGCAAAATGCACACCTTGGCTCTTTTTTGGTATATGTTCTTTATATTTTAATGTGGGTATGTACACTAGGAACAAACTAAATTGTGATTTATGGTCTTCATTTATTTTAATTGATAATACTTTTAAATATGTTCCTGATTGTACATAGTGTAAAATAAACATGTTTTTTAACATGCGGTTGTATAGTAGCTTGTCATCTGGCTTAATCTGTATAGAGTAAGACTAAAATATATTAAGGAGAAAAACAATTTTTTAATAACTCTGCATTGAATCCTACATACCCATTCTGGTCCCTCAGATCATATTTTTGTTTGATCTGTCATCTCAGTTTCATAAAGGGGTATCTTTTATAGAATATTCAACTTTCTGATCAGGAAAACCAATTAAACATTCATAGTCTTAATGGAGCAGGTGTCGGCAAACAGCCTAATCCTGCTCACCACCCGTTTTGTAAATAAAGCTTTATTGGAACACCACACCACGTACTCATTTATGTATTGTCTTTGGCTGTGTTTGCGCTACAGTGGTTGCAAGAAAGCCGTATGGCTTACAGAGCCTTAAATATTTACCATCTGACCCTGTATAGAGCAAGTTTGCCGACTCCTGAGTTACAGAAAGGAACGGGAGGGTGTTGGGGAATGCAGTTCTAGAGACTAAAGAAGGGGACAGTTAGGTGGGAAGAACTGGATGGTGGATCATGAGGCACCATTTCTACCTTAGCTAGTGCACTACCCTTCTCTGTGACTTTAGGTAATCTATTGACTCTAGAACAGTTTCCTTATCTAAAAACATGACTTCTAAATCATACAGGTGTTAATAGTCATAGCAGTTGTGTATATGTATCACTTTTCCCAAATAAATACATTGTCACTGATCTTAGCATTAATGACTGAATAATGACTTCTAAAAACACATCTTTGCCAGTATAACATTATTGTCGACTTGTTGAAAAACAGAGACTCATGGAAAAGATTTTCAAGAAATCAAGATTCTGTTCTTGGCATTTATTGACCAGGTTGTTGATCCGTTTTCTGGGCCACTGTTTTTTCTAATTTCCAAGTCCTATAAGTTATATAAACGGTCACATCTCAAAAAATTTAACAATCATATTTAACTGTCAAACACTTGGAATTATTTCCAGAAAATACACAACTGGTTTGTGTGTTACTTGTGGGCTTTTTAAAAACATAGACCCCTGAAATCAATCTTTGGGGGCTAAGCCCAATAACCTATTACTTTTATAAAGTCATGCAGATTATTCAGATGTGCAATCTCTATGTGGGAAACATTGGTTGACCTGAATTTAAATCAGTTTTCTGAGGGTGGTCGAAGGATCACATGATCAGAATAATCTCTGATGACTGTTAAAAATGCAAATTTTGTAGCTCTACCTAGTAACTTTTGATTAAGGATCTTTATTCATTCAAAAGGAAAAGAGCCACTCACCTAAATGTTGGAGAGAATATATTTCATCTTCATTTAAGTTCAAGCTATCTATCTTATTAGCTAGTTTCTTAGTAGTATTGAGAAGAATGAGATCAGTTGTTTCTGGGCCTGTTGGCTGTCATTCAGCTTACACTGATTTCAGGAGAGATTGGGAAAGAACGGGCAGATAGTTTTCACCATTACTAGAAACAAAGATGAAAATGTGTCTATATACAAAATAATGGATAAGCACGAAGAGTATTACTTGAGGGAATATAGTAAGTCCCCAGTACATGTATCTGTGCTAGGTGTGATTCTACATGCTTTATACAGATTGTCCCATGGAAGCCCCAAAACAACCTAGTGGGTAGGTATTGTTAATGCTGTTTTACAAATGAAACTGAGGCATCGAAAGCTTAAATAACTTGCCAAAGGATATAACTGATACATGGTGGAGCTAAGATTTGAACCCAGGCCACTTGGTTCAAAGTGTATACCCTTAACTACTATACTAAAGTATGTATTACACAGAATACAAACAGTATATCCACTGCCCTCTAAAATATATGAAGCATTTTCCCCCCAGAAATTAGATGGATTTTCTCCAGGAGCTGGATTTCAAGTTCTGATTTTCACAGTCTCTGCAACAAGAGAAATCAACTTCCTATCTTAATTTTTTGGCTTTACCAAGAAGAATTTTGAATTGAATTTTCAATTCAACTTTCAACTGAATTCTCTTTATTCAAAGTGTTTTGCATAAAATTAGTTAAAGCTTATTAAGTAAGTCTAGTCAAAACTCATTGCAAAGACTTTTTTTTTTTTTTACTTTTGTGAGATAACTCCGTTATTTAACCAACTTACACATCACTTACAGTGTATCCAGGCACCTCACTGATGCTGGAAAAAGGATGGAAAAGGCATCATTTCTAGTATTCAAGGAGCCCACTTGGATGAAAAAAAATTTTTTTAAAGGTACAAAAGGTTGCGCCTAATTATACTTTGGGGAAAAGAAAGCCTTTGTGTGGAAAGTTATATATAAACCAGGTTGTTAGATGAAGGGTTTATCAAGTGCAGTACAAAAGGGTGGTGAGCTGTAGGCTAGACTAAGCTTCAAGGACTCTGAATGCAGGTTCCTGGAGTAGTGACGATAAATGCAGCTGAGCTTGGTTTAGAGAACCTGGAGCACAGCAACAGGCACAAAGCTAGAAAACAAGGTTGAGCCTGACTGTGGAGAGCTTCCTAATGAGAAAAGGAGCTAGAAGCTCCACTTAGGAACTGCAGCGATCAGACACACGCCCATGAAAACAGGCAGCTGGGTTTGTGCATAGGTGATCACTCGTATCCTTACGGAGAATATTTTCCGTAGCATGATAAGGGCAGAAATGAGTCGATGTGAGTTTATGTAGATTTGGGTTTATTGGGAGAATGCTTGGTCTTGAAAGAGAAAGGAGATAAAAGGTTGTCTCTGGTTTTATTTTCGAAGCAAATGAAGCAAATGGAAAACTGAAGATGAAGAAAAGAGTACAGTCACCTGAAGGAAGAAGGGAAGTATGACTACCCTAAATCCGGCATGATGGGGAGCATTTTATTGATGCTAAACAAGTATGTATGTGCTTATTAACGTAGTATTTTTAAGTTCGTATTTGGGAACAAGAAGGGTAAGCTTTCGTAAAAATGATCTTGTGCAGCGTTAATGCATTTACTTCGATACGGCATTCATCGCATTATTTGCTTGACTTGCTTCCCCCTGGGTGGCAAATCTGCCTCATTCTGAACCCGTTCCAGATACTACCACAGTGCCTGCAGGATTGTGAACACGGCAGCAGCGCGCCCCACAGCTGAGAGCCGCCTGTCACGGGCAGGCCTCCACGAGTTTGCTAAAAAGCTCTTTGGACAGAAAAGCAAGACTGAAAAGTAATGACTAAAAGAGAGGATCTGACAGACTGAAGGTCTCGGCCCAGGCAGGGAAGCGGCCTCATTTCGCCGTTTACACGGGCTTCATTTTAAGTGCGCTTGAGGCCTTGGAAAGGAGCAGGACTTCCTACAATCACGGCGTTCGCGGGAAAGTAGTTTAAATGTTTCCTGAGCGCCTTCCTCAGGGCATCTTCAGGGCTCTGGAGCAGAAACGGCCGCCGCGTCTGCAGCCCCGACGTTATGGCTCTGCCCGGAGGCTGCCCCCTGGGACGAGGCGGCGGAGCCCGGGCTTCCCGAGCGGCGGGCGCCGGAGGAGCTCCCCGGAAGCCGCCCGGCCCGCGCGCCCCGAGCGTCCGGTTGCCCCGGAGACGCCGCGGCGCTGCGCTCCGCAGTTGCTGGGCGGGGGGCGGCCCGCGCACGGCGACCTCCGCCGGGTCGGCGCCGCTCCGGGCTGCGCGAGGCGGCGTGGCGGGCACCACGGGTCCGCGCCGTAAGTGTGGGTGCTGGCGGCGGGCGGGGGCCTGAGGGAGAGAGGACCGGGTCTGCATGCACGCCCCCAGAAGAGGGAAAGTTCCTGAGGGCAGCGGAGCGGGGCTGCCTTGCCCTCCGGTAGCCTCCGGAGGGACAGGCGGGGTGGGGGCGAGGGCTAGAGGTGCCAGGGTGCTCGCGCCGGCCGCCCGCCCCACCCGCTGCGGCTCCCTGGGGGCTAGAGGGAGGTGCGGCCCTGGGGAGGCGAGCGGCTGCGGGAGGGCGGCCGGTGGGGGCAGCGGGGGCAGCGGGGGCAGCGGGGCGCACCTGCGCTTTGGGAGACCAGGTGTGGCCAAGAAGCTGGACTGCCTTTGAAGGGTCGAGACGGCTTTAGAGGCCTGGCGGTGAAGTGAACGATGCCAAGCTTCCAGATACGGGAACATATGAACTGTGATGTTTTAAACAAAATTAGTTTCTCGGGTTATATAAATTATATGGTCTTCTGGTTTCCTGGAGATGCTTTTAAGTAACCTGATTGTACTATCACCAAGACGTTTATTAACAGGTGTGTGTACTTTCGACGTTCTGTAATTCAGTGTTATGTTCGTAAGACAGATGCAGAATGCGTTTGCAGCCCATCTTCCTGATCAGTTCTATTAAATATGAATACTACAAGTTTGGGTGCATTGGAAACAATAAACAACATAGCACATTGTGACTTTAAGCCTGCAGAATTTAACTGGGCTGGCCTGGTCTTGAAAAAGTCTCCTTGCTTTCCTCCTTCTTAACACTGCTGTTTACACCAGTTTCCTATAAATTTAAGATTAGGAGATTAATAAATATTTTTTTCACCCCATTACTCTCCCTTTCTTAATTTTGTTTTGCTTTCCGCCAGTGCATTCCATAGGCTTACTTGAGCCCTCAGGACCTGCTTTGTGATACAATCATGGAAAATAATCTGCCTCCCAGTGTTTCCTCTGTTTCTATGTGCATCATTTCCTTCAGACTAAGGAAATTAAACAGGAAACTTTCAAAGAATTTAATGATCCACTCAAGTATCTTATCTACTCAAATATCTTTCTATATTTACCAATGGGCCCAAGTCTATATCTGTTTTTGCCTTTATACACAGAACTTGATTAATTTAACAGTCAAGTATTTGGTAAATTTTGAAGTCAGGAGGCCCCTTAGCCAAGAGATATGTAAGTTCAGTTGAAGTCACTAATGACTATTAAAAATATTTTCAACCAGTTTCATCTCTTCCCTGTCAGTGGCTATATCACTGCTTGATCTTGATTTCCTGCCCAGATACTGTATTAACAATCAAAATGTGATTATTTCCTTTGCTTAAAGAAGAAAATTATTTTACATATTTAGCAGAAAGGTTAGAGAATAAAATTATGGCAGGACTTCAACAGGTTGAGCACCTGCCGTGTGCCGGCCAATGGGCTAAGAAGGCAAGTTAGGTGTAATGAATAAAGTGTAAAAAAGGAGTGGGAGAAATTGTGAACATAGGATGTGTGCAGAGAAAGAGCTTGCCTTTAGGGATTGGGGAAGGATAAAAGAAAAGACATTTGAGTTGAACTGCAAAAGATGAGGATTCCGGGGTCAGAACTTCCCAGCAGTGGCATAAGCAGAGACAGATCTGAAAGTGTTTGGGGAAGAATTTGAGAAGCAATATGGGAAAGGTACATTGGGACCGGAGTGTAAAGGACTGTAAGTATCCTGCTGTAATCTGAACTTTATTTTGTGGCATCAGAGGCCATAGACATTTTTGAGGAAGGACAATATATGACTATGCTGATGTTTGAGAAAGATGTTTTTGGTGTAACGGAAATAGATATGCAGAAGAAAAGTGAGTTAAGACCCTTCAGTCACACCATATGTAGGTTTTTTAAATAGCTTGATTTGATTTGATATAATAATTTCAAACTTGCAAGAAAAGTACAATGAACCCCCATACATCTACCTGCATTAATTGTGCTCCATTTATTTTATCATTTCCTTTCTGTCTCTCCATGTATAAATACATGGATGTTAATTTTTCTGTACCTTTTGAGAGTAAGTTATAGACATCATGTGCTTTTACACTTAAGTAGTTCAGTGTGTATTTCCTAAGAATAAGGACATTTTCTTACATAATCACAGTACAGATTACCAAAATCAGGAAATTTAGTACCTAATCCACAGTCAATAGTTAGATTTCACCAGTTATCCCAGTGTTACTCTTTACAGTTATCCCATTCTAAGATTCAATTTAGGATCACACATTATATTTCATTTTCATATCTTTTTAGTCTCCTTCCTTCTGGAACAGTACCTTGACCTTTGTCTTTTATGACCTTACCATTTTTTTAAATAACACAGGCCAGTTATTTGTAGGATGCCAAAGTTTTGTCTACTTTTTTCTCATGATTCGGTTCAGGTTTTGCATTTCGGGCAACAGTACCACAGAGGAGATGCTGGGTCCTTCTCAGTGGTGCATTTACCTTTTCTAGAAATTTCATGTAAATGGAATCATACAATATGTGTGGGGGAGAGTTGTCTGGCTTCTTCCACATAGCATATGTTTTCAGTTGTGTTTTTTTATGCTTATCACATAATAGCATGTACCAGTACTTTCCTTTTAATGCTGAATAAGTATTTCACTGCATGGATTTTCATTCATCGGTTAATGGGCATTTAGTTTGTTTTCTATTGAAGCTCTTATGAATAATGGTACTATAAACACTTGCATGCATGTCTTTGTATAGGCGTATATTTTTATTTTTCCTGGGTAGATACCAAAGAGTGGAATTGCTGTTTATGTTTAACTTTTATGTTAAATTTATGGTTAACTTTTAAGATATTACCAAACTGCTTCCAATGGAGCTGTGCTGTTTAACATTCCCACCATTGATGTGTAAGAGTTCCAATTTCTATACATCTTTATCAATCCTTGATATTGTCAGTCTTTTGGATTTTACCTATTCTGGTGTGTGGATAGTAGTATCTTAATTTGGTTTTAATGTACATTTCCTAATGATTAATAACATCCTTTCATGTGCTTATTATTAGACATTTATATATCTTCTTTGGTGAAATGTCTCTTCAAACCTTTTGTTCATTTTTGAGGTGACTCGGTAGAGCATGAGACTCTTGATCTTGGGGTTGTGAGTTTGAGCCCCATGTTGGGGGTAGAGTTCACTTGAAAAAAATCTTTTGTCCATTTTTAACTTGGGTTTTCCGGCTGCCTGTTGAATTGTAAGAGTGCCTTATGTATTGTGTATACAAATCCTTTATCTAATATTTTCTTCAGTCTGTGGTTTGTTTTTTTCATTTTCTTAATGAAGCAGTTTTTTTGAAGAGCAAAAGATTGTAATTTTGATGAATTCTATTTTATCAATTTGTATGTATCATGCTTTCAGTGCCATACCTTAGAAATCTTTGCCTAACTTAAGGTCAGAAAGATTTTTTTCTATATTTTTACTAGAAGTCAGTAGTAGTTGTGGCTCTTATATTTTGGTCTGTGATCCATTTTGAGTTAATTTTGGTATATTATTTAGGTATCTAAATTCTTTTGTTTTTATTTTTATTTTGTTACATATGGATACCAATTGTCTTAGCATCATTTGTTGCAAACAATAGTTTATCTTCATTGAATTGCCATGGCATCTTTGTCGAAATCAATTGGCTATAAATAAAAAGGATTATTTCTTGACTCTCTATTCTTTCACTGATATATATGTCTATCTTTATGCCAATGCCATATTCTTTTGATTTATTATAACTTTATGGTAAAATTTGAAGTCAGGTATTATAAGTCTTCCCAGTTTGTTTTTATTCCAGGTTGCTTTGGCTGTCCTGGGTACTGTGCATTTACATATAAATCTTAGGTTCATCTTGTCAATTTCTACCCCCAAAAAAGTCTATTGGGATTTTTATAGGGATTGAATTTAATCTGTCAGTGAATTTATGGAGAACTGACATCTTATTGAGTTTTCCAATCCATGACCATGATATTTCTCTCCTTTTATTTTTATCTTCTTTAATTTCATGAGCAATATTTTTAATTTTCAGTATACAGGCCTTACACTTCACTTGTTAAATTCATTTCTAAATATTTTATTCTTTTGATGTTATGAGTGGAATTGTTTCCATTTCCTCTTCAAATTGTTGCTAGTGCATAGAAACACAATTTATTATTGTATATTGATCATGTATCCTACTACACTGCAAAC